TTTTACTGTGCAGTTCAGGCTGGGTTTGAACTCATTTTGTAACCTAAGTTGGCCTCAGACTCACAGCAAAGCTCTGCCTCAGCCTCCCAAGTGCTGGATTTTTACAGGCATGCAAAACTACACCCGGTTTAATGTTCTGATTTTTTGTTTGTTTTTTGTTTTTTGTCTTTTTGAGACAGGGTCTCACTATGCAGCTCAGGCTGGCCTTGAGCTTACTTTGTAGCCCAGGCCCAAGTGCTGGGATTACAGGTGTGCACCACCACACCCAGCCTTAATGTTCTGTTTGAACAACCAATCTTTTTTTAATGTTTTCAAACAGTGTCTTTCTACATAGTTTAGGCTGCCCTTGAACTTGCCTTGTATCCCAGGGTGGCCTCAAACTTGGGATCATCTCTGTCACAACCTCAGTGCTGGGATTACAGATGTGTGTCACCAGGCCTGGCTCAAGAAATACTTTTCATGCAGAAGTGTATCTTTTTTTTTTTTGAGAAGGTCTTGCTGTGTGATTCAGGCTGTCTTTCAATCACTGTGTAGCCCAGGCTGGCCTTGAACTCATGGTAATCCTTTCGGCTCAGTGTCCCAAGGGCTGGGATTAGAAGCATGCAAAACCATGCTTGAGTTTTTTTGTTTGGTACTGGGACTCAAACTCAGAGTTTGCCAGGCAGGCACTTGCACCACTGAGCTATATCCTCAGGCCCTGACTTAAAAAAAAAATGCAGAAGTGTATCTTGAAGATTGCTTGGGATATATTTATACTAAATACATCCTGTGTTTTGATGGTGACTATCCTCCCTGGGGAGGATTCATTAAAAATGTGCATCCTGGGGCCTCCTTCCATTCAGTGGGGCTGAGCCCCGGAAACTACATTTGACACAAGCATCCACTCAGGGCATGGGTGCATCCTCAGACTGGGCGCTGGCCATTCCTTGTGGTTGGAGTTCCCTCCTGCTCCCCTCCTTCCAGGCACAGCCATGGGTTTCACTCTCTGAGGAGCCCTCCTGAAATCTGCCTGAGATGATCACACCTTTTGTGCCCCATGGAGCTGTGGGGCTCGTTTGTGGAGCATAACCAAGTCTTTTCTTACTTTTTGAGACAGTGTCTTGACACACAGTTCAGACTGTCCTTGAACTCACAGCAATCCTCCTGCCTCAGCCTCCCCAGTGCTGGGATTACAGGCATGAGCCACTACACTGTTAGAATCACTGAATCTGAAGACAGTTCATGCCCTGTCATTGCTTTCTCACTTTCTGTTCCTGATCCACTGCCGACAGTGATCAAATTCCCACTGCATAACAGTGGAAGCTGAAGCTAGGAAGGGTTAGGGACTGGTGCTGAGGCCACCCCACCAGGGATTGGCTGAGCCAGGCCCAGGTCCTCTGTGGCAGGTCCTGTCTGGGGGTGTTGCTTGGCCAGACACATTCGGGTCTCAGTTGTGAGTCTTTGCTTTGGTTTCTTATCTGTAGGGTGAGACCAGCCTGGGCTGTAGCAGGGATGTCACCATGGAGACTCACCCACTCCAAGTAGATGCCATTTCTTGTCCCAGAGTGCCAGACTGGGCTGGAGCAATAGTGCAGTTCTGTGAACCCAAGGCCTACAGCCTTCTGCCCCGCTAGGATTGGGGTAGAGACCCCCAGGAAGGGGCAGGTGTCCTTGGCTGCTGAAGGGAGTGGCTGTCAGCGTTCCCTTTTCCCTGATGCCGCCCGTGGGCTGTGGCAGGTGGGAGGGAACTGTTTTTGGCTTGAGCCCATCCCACCCGCTGGGACAGTCATCACCCAGTTCCATAGAGCAGTAAACAGAAAGGGGTCCGCCTGTCCCTGAAATCTTTGCAACAGCCTCCTGACTTTAACGTCCTCCCAGGCTGCCACGTCCTGATGGCAGCCTTCTGGTGTCGCTTGTTTTGTTTGTCTGGGGACAGAGGCTGCAGCTTGGAGGGACAAATGAGGCTGTGTTCCTATTCGCTCTGGGGACAGTGGAGTTTTGTGGCCTTGGCAGGCCACGTGGGCTGCAGAAGTGGTGTCTGTGTGCCCAAGGATCCAGAAAGCCACCAAGGAGCCCCCTGTGGGCCCTGGCTGACCTGAGGCCTTGGGCAGCGATTGCAGAGGCGGCACAGCCCCTTGAGGCACAATAGGTACCACACTGCACGTTCCGGTCTCATTGCTGCCACCAGCTCCTCCTGCTGTGTGTGCTCACCACGGGCTGAGCTCAGGCCGAGGCGGTCAGGCAGAAGGCCTGTGTGGGTTATAAACCCATCACCCAGGTCCCATGGCCATCCAGGGCTGAGCCAGGTGGTACCTCATAAGAGTGGCACCCATGACTGAAATGATGAACACATCTCCCTGGAGGGGCGGTGGGCTCTGGGGTCCCAGTGTGTGTGAGACCATCCAGAACCATTTTAATGTCATCTGTGGTTCATCACTAGTGAAGTGTAAGGCAGCATTGTCTGATAGAGACATAAGATCTGTGATGTTACTTTCTTTGTTTTGTTTTGTTTTTTTGATGATGATGATGGAGTAGAACTCAGGGCCTCTTATATGCTGAGTAACTGCGCTGTCACTTAGGTGCATCCCCAGCCCTTTTTATTTTGAGATGGGGTCTTGCTAAGTTGCCCAGGCTGGCCTTGAACTCCTAACTTAGTTTAGCTTCCTAAGAAGCTGGAATACAGGTGTGTGCCATCATGCCTGGTGTGTGTTAAACAATTTTTTTGACCTGTATTTTATTTTATTTTATTTTATTTATTTATTTTTAATTTTTGGAGACAGGGTCTGGCTATGCAGTTCAGGCTGGCCTTGAGCTCACTTTGTAGCCCAGGCTGGTCTTGAACTCAAAACAACCCTCCTGCCTCAGCCTCCCAAGCACGGGGATTACAGGTGAGTGCCACCATGCCGGCCTAGTACTAGAGATTGAACTCAGGGCATTCATACTAAGCTACATATCCAGCCTTTATTTTTTTCCCCTATTTTTTATTTTGCAAAAGTATCTGGCTAAGTTGCCTGAAGTGGGCTTACATATGGGATCGGTTCTCCTACCCTTTTAAAAGTTTTTTTTATTTTCAAAAAAAGCCTTACTGAGTCACTGAATAGGTCAGGTTATCTGCAAACCTGTGATCCTCCTGCCTCAGCCTCCCAGACTGTTGGGATGACCTGTGTGTCACCATGCAGGGCCAGCTGCTTTCTGAGTGTACACTGTCAGGTCTGGGAGGGTGGGTTGTTCTGCGTGGCACAGGGTGGTGAGTGTTGCTGTGCAGCCAGCCCTGGCTCATGGCCACAGCTCCTCAGGTCCGTGACATCGGGGTCAGCTGAGCTGCAGGATGTGTCGTAGGGAGCCTCGTGCCAGGCTGGCTTTGCACTTGGTGCTGGCCATCCCCACAGCGGATGTGGTGGTCTGATGGGGATGCTGTGGCAGCAAGCCAGTTGGGGCAGACATGGGCAGGGGCTACACCCTGCCAGCCAAGCTGGTGGCTTCAAGATAGCAAGTTGGGACAGCACCAGAAATCCAGGAAGCACAAGCGGCATCCCCTAGTCCTGTGTGTGCGCCTGGCCTCCTGTTGGGCTTCCTGGCCCCCAGCCTTGTGGCCTTGTCTCCAGCCTCCCCTGCCCCACTGTCCGTGACTTCTGAGGGTGGAGAACTGGGGCACAGCCTCCCGGCAGAGCGCGCACAGCGTCACTGTGCTGTGGGGACGGTGATGGTGCTGCCGCTGAGCTCCTGCCACAGGGCCTGCGTGCAGCGAGCCTTGCCGGACAGCCCGGGCAGAGCTGCATGTAGCGGGTAGCCGGGTTCCCAGGGTGCTCTTCTCGCTCCTAGTGGCACCCTCAGACCCCACCCTACCCATCGCGCCTCTGCCACCAGTGGATCAGGAGGTGGGCGAGCCTGGGGCGACAGGGGCCTGGTCAGCTTCCCATAGCGCTGCGTTATAGGGCCGCCTCAGGCATGTGTCACCATGCCCTGGCGCCTAGATCTGCCATGGGAAGGCTGCCATGGGACACAGGTTCTGTGGCTATCTTCTGTCCAGCCCTTTACAGACGTCGCCGTGTGCTGTTTCGGGAGGTGGCCTTATGCCCCAGCCCTCGTGTGTTCTCTTCCACGCTGCTGCAGGTGTAGCAGCTGACAGTGGCGCCCATCGGGCCCCCCCCGTGCATAGTCAGGAGCCTGGCCACAGCAATCCAGGTCCTCTGCGCAGAACCTTACCTGGCTGGAGTCCGGACTCAGCCCTGCTGTCTCACCTGGAGGATCCGCTAGAGAGGGCTCCGTTTGTAACACTGCTGGCCAGTTCAGTTTCAGGCTGTGGCACTGAGGCCTAAAACCTCCGGCCGTTGCTAGAGTTGCTGCTCTGTGTTCCAGGCTGCAAGTCTGTTCCTGTTCAGACTTTGCCCGCCGGAGGCTCAGAGGGCAGGTGGGTGGTTGCCCGGGGCTGGTGTGTGGGGTGTGTGAGGTGAGGTTTGCCAGGGGAGTGATGAAAACTTTCTGGAATGTAGTAGCAGCAGTAGTTGCACATCTCCACGCACACCAACAACCGTGGAATCGTTTAGAAATGATGTTCTTCAGGCTGGGGCCGTGGCTCGGGTAAGCGCTCGCCTAGCGTGCACAAGGGCCTGCGTTTCAGCCCCAGCACTCAAAGCAAAACAAAGGAAGCAATGTTCTTTTTGGTATGAGTTACATCTCGGCTTTCTTAAAGAGCCAGTGGAGGCTTAGACTCTGCAAACCAGGAGATGAGTAGGATGTGGGCGAGAATGCGTCCAGCAACGGGCTGGACTTGCGGCTGGGCTCCGGATCAGGCCTCATCGAGCCCCCAGCCTCCTGGGATGGACTCCACCGGCTCCTGGGGGCCTGCCTCCCTTGCCAGGCGATGTTCTGCTCCCACCGATCTCTGTCTTCCACAGTCCCCGCCTGCTGAGGATGAGGATGGAGCCCACCCCAGGCCTCACGGAGCGGCAGGGTCCTGAGAAGGTGGCTGGGAGCACAGAGCAGGAGCCAGCACCGTGGCAGGCTGTCCCTGTGCTGTCCGAGCAGCAGTCTGGGGACATGGAGCTGGTGTTGGCCTACGCCGCGCCCGTCCTTGACAAGCGCCAGACCTCCCGCCTCCTCCGGGAGGTGGCAGCTGTCCACCCGCTGCCCGCACAGCCCCACCTCAAGCGGGTGAGGCCTCGGCCCAACAGCCACGGTGCCCCCGTGCTAGAGCTGCTGCTATGCCTGGCCGGCCCCGCCCCAGGTCCACGCTCACTGGCTGAGCTGCTTCCCGAGCCTTCTGTGGACCCCCGAGGCCTGGGGCCGCCCTTTTTGGTACCTGTGCCTGCCCGGCCACCCCTCACCAGGAATCAGTTCGAGGAGGCCCGGGTACACTGGCCCACATCCTTCCATGAGGACAAGCGGGTGACCAGTGCGCTGGCCGGGCAGTTCTTCTCAGCGGAGGAGCGAGCCGTCATGCAGGGCTACATGGAGCGGGCAGTGCGAGTAGCCCAGCGGGCAGCGGCCCAGGGCCTCCGGGCTGTGGGGGCTGTGGTGGTGGATCCCGCCTTGGACCGTGTGCTGGCCATGGGTCACGACTGCCGCAGTGCCACCAGCCCCCTGCTGCATGCTGTCATGGTGTGCATCGACCTCGTGGCTCAGGGCCAGGGCCGTGGTGCCCATGACCTCCGCGCCCACCCGACCTGTGCCTTCTCCCCGGCTGCTGCCCCCCAGGCCCACGCGGGCACTGTGCGCAAGCTGGAGGAAGATGAGGATGAGGACGGCCAGCCCTACGTGTGCACCGGCTATGACCTGTACGTCACCCGAGAGCCTTGCGCTATGTGCGCCATGGCCCTCGTGCACTCCCGCATCCGGCGCGTCTTCTACGGGGCCACCTCACCCGACGGTGCCCTGGGCACCCGCTTCCGTGTCCACGCCCGGCCTGACCTCAACCACCGCTTCCAGGTGTTCCGTGGGGTCCTCGAGAACCAGTGTGACCTGCTGGACCCTGACACGTAGGCTTAGCGGCTCCACTCTTCTGGAACTTCCTCTGTTCCTGGGCAGGCTTTGTGCCCTGAGGCTCCCCTGGGGGCTGCCGTCTTGCCTGTCCAGTTTAAGGACACTTGCTGCCTGGCTGGGTCTCCCACCTCCTCACTGATGAGGGTCCTGCCCTGTCCCCAGGGCTGGTTCACTGCCTCGGAGTCCTCCACAGTGTGTCAGGAATCACCTCTGACAAGTGACAATAAACCTTTACCTCAACCCAAGCTGCTGTCTGTTAAGAGGAGCCAGTGTCCTGGCTGGGGTCCTGGGGCTGGGAAGCTCTGCATTCCAGGTTCGGGGACTGCAGCTGGGCTGAGTGTGGTCAGGCACTTGGTAGTGTTCGGGGACAGGGGTGTCTGGACACTGGCAGTCTGGGCTCAGCTGACCCAAAGGCTTCTTTGGGGTCTTCCTATTTACTGCCTAGCCATGCCTGGGGTGCCACGGTTTGGCTTACATGTGTTCTTGTCTTTCATGGGTGGCAAGAAGGGACCCAGAGGAGCCACTGTGTCAGGACAGGGCTAGAACTGACAGTGGGGACTTGGAGCAGGACCCGCTGCTCCTTCTGGCCAACATCCCTTGCTGACCACACCGTGTTGCCAGGGCAGCCGTGCACCCACCTGGCCCAGGCACCAGGCACCTCCATGTGGAAGGGAGAGGCTGCTGCCTGACCCTTCCCTTCCCACCAGGCTCAGAGGGGAAGTGTTGCCTGGGGGCCCGATATCCGGCCTGTGACACTCGCTGAGCTGGCAGCTGAGCTGGGCTGGCCTTTCCGGCAGAAATCCGATGTGTTGCTCCCAAACACAGGTTTCTGGTCACAGTGGGCCCCCACTGAGGGTGGCCCCGGCCCACAGCTGGGCGTCAGATCCCCCAGTGGCCGAAGGGTCCCTCATGTCCTGTCTCCTTCCAGGTGGCTGCAGGCTTCAGCCCAGGTGCCAGGTCAGCTGAAGCGGAAATGTCTGGTGAGTCCCACGGGGCTGCCGCAGCTAAGGGTTTGCTCTGTGTTCCTAGGAGGGGTGCTCAGGTGGGGAGGGATAGCAGCAGTTCCCACATGTGTCCTTAGCCTGTGCATGACCTGTTGTCATGTAGCCTGCATCCTGAGCCTGCTTTTGCAAGCACACTGTCCAGCTCTCTGCCTAGCCATGCCTGGGGTGCCACAGTTTGGCTTACATGTGTTCTTGTCTGCAAAGCTGCCACGTCAAAAGTGGCAGGAAGCTGGTGACAGGCCGTGATTCATATGTATCCTCTGGGTTGGGAGTGATGGAGGTTCAAGTAAAGCAAGCTGGCCTTGGAGGGGGGCCCAGGGGCCTCACAGGCTCCTCCATAGCTGCCCCAACTCCTGCCGTCTTGTCCTCTCCCAGTCTCTTCACCATTCCTAGACCTGCAGGATGCTCACCCCAGGGCCTTTGCACTGGCTATGCCCATGACCCTTAGACTGCTGGGCTCCCCACCCCGGCACACATTGCCCTGGAGCTGCCTCACTGGCCTCTTTCTAGTAGTTCACATCCTGCAAGCAGCAGTTGTATAGGGTGTGTGTTTGCTGATATCATTAGTTAAGTTGAGGCCATATTAGAGTGAGGTACCATAACCCAGTGGTGGGTCCCAGTAAGAAGGGGGAAATTTGGACACGGACACATGGGGGAGGCAGAGGCAGACTAGGGCAATGTGGCCACGAGCTGAGGTACACTGGAGCCCCAGAGGCTGGAAGAGGCACTAATGGCCTCCTGGGAGCTGCAGAGGGACGTTGGCTGGACATAGCTCTGGGCCTTGGACTTCTGGATTCTGTAGCAGAGAAGATAAATTTCAGAGGTTTCAAGCCGCTGGGATTTTGGGACTTTGCTCTAGAAGCCTGGTGAACTGGTAATGTTCCACTTGCTGGACTCTTGGGGAGTGTGTGTGAGTGTGGTGCGGGTGTGGTGAAGAATCACTAGAAAATAAAATAACTAACAAAGGAACTCACCACACACTTACTGGCTGGAAACAACAAAATTTAAACCTGGTACGGCCCAGGGCTTTCATCTCAGCTACTCAGGAGGCTGAGGCAGAGGATCAAAAGTTCAAGGCCAGACTGGTCAAGTTAGCAAGACCCTGTCCCAAAATTTAATTTTATTTATTTATTTATGTATATATGTCTTTTTGAGACAGGCTCTCAAAAAGTTCAGGCTGGCCTTGAGTTCACTTTGTAGCCCAGGCTGGTCTCAAATTTGCAATGATCCTCCTGCTTCAGCCTCCCGTGTACTGGGATTACAGACATGCGACACCACACCTGGCTTCCATCTGAAAAATTTTAAAATAAGAAAGTGTAGTGTAGCTTAGTGGTAGAATGCTTGCCTAACATGTGATTGGCCCTAAATTTAATCCCCAGGAGTGGAAAAAAAAGTAAAAATTTGCCATCTTAGGATCTGAGAATCAGAAGTCCGAAATGAGTTACTGGGCTGAGTCCAGGTGCAGCCACTGGGATACTCCCTCCTGAGGCTCTGGGGAGAACCCAGGTCCCCCCACCCCACCTGGGTACCTGCAGCCCTTGGCTCGCGGCCCCTTCCTCCATCTGCAGAGCTGGCAGTAGGTGTCTTCCATTTCTCTCTGCCTCTCACCCTCCCACGCCCTCTCCTGGGTTACACAGGTGCCCAGATGGTCAGGATAGTCTCCGGCTTAGTCCATCACTTAGCCCAGCTGCAGCATCCCTTCTGCTGTGGGAGGTGACAGATCCTCAGGCTTTGGTGTAGGGGGGATGAGGATGGGGATGATGCCCTGCAGCAGCCACTAGCGGGCCTGTCTTGGGGTTTTCTTCCTGCAGGGAAGGAGAACAACTTTCCACCGCTACCTCGGTTCATCCCGCTGAAGCCCTGCTTCTACCAGGACTTTGCTGACGAGATCCCCATCGAGCACCAGGTGCTGGTGAAGAGGATCTATCGGCTTTGGATGTGTGAGCATGGTGCAGGGCTGCAGGGGTGGGACACAGGCCCACGACCACCGGACCCAGGGAGTGGTCGCCTGGAGCCACCCTGTCCTCGGCAGCCAAGCGGTACCCCATCTGTCCTGAGGCAGCAGAGTGTAGGGACAGGGACCCTCGGAGTCCCTTGTGTGCCCTGAGCCCATCTTTGGGCCCCTATCCTAAGCCAGCCCACTGCCTGGCCTCACCCAGCTCCTCCTGAGGTCCCGAAGTGTCCCCAGAGCACAAGAGGTGACCCTCAGGCCAGCCAGCATCCTCAGGGGCACCCGGCTCAGTCTCTTCTCCCTCACCCCCACCAGTTTACTGTGCCACCCTTGGGGTCAACCTTGTCGCCTGCCTGGCCTGGTGGATTGGCGGTGGCTCGGGAGCCAACTTCGGCCTGGCCTTCGTCTGGCTGCTGCTCTTCACCCCCTGCAGCTATGTGTGCTGGTTCCGGCCCGTCTACAAGGCCTTCCGGTGAGTGGGATGGAACAGGCGGCCCTGGACTTGTCCCTCCCGCTTCTGGTGGGCTCTGGACTCTTATGGTGCTGAGGGGGCACTGAGTAACCGCTGTGTGCGCGCTGGCTCCGGTGCCATTCACCCCGTGCACAGGGAGCTAGGCCTGGCCTGCACCAGGTTTGGCCCAGTTATTAGTAGCTGTTCCACTCTGGGTAGCAGCTGATTACTGCGCGGGCCACATCCAGCTGCTGAATGTTCTGTTTTGTGTTTTATCAGTGCCCCCCTTGGTACTGGGGATGGAACCGGGGCCCTCACACTGAGGTGCATCCCCAGTCATTTTTATTATTTGAAATAGGGTCTCTGTAAGTCGCAGAGTGGCCCAGGCTGAGCTCAAACTTGTGATCCTCTTGCCTCAGCCTCTGCTAGAGCTGGGATGACAGCTATTTGCCACCACTCACGGCTTCTATTTTGGACTTCAGTAGCAACTTCGGTGAGATTTTCTTCACATTCCACAGCTCACCTACTTCAAGTGACAGCTCAGTGTTGTAGTGCGTTCCCCAGGCTGTCCGGCTGCTGCCTACTACCTGTTTCTAAAACACTCTCATCACCCCAAAGGAAACCCTGACCATCTGTCCCCAGGCAGTCTCCCAGCCCTGGCACCCAGGGGGCCACTTCCTGTCTCTGGAGTTGCCTGTCCTGGGCGTTTCCTGTCCATGGAGCCTGTGCCATACATCCTGTGTCTGACATCTCCTACTGAACCCAGTATCCTCAAGAGCCAGTGTCACAGCTGTGCTCCTTTCCTTTTTCTTTTTGTGTTTTTCTGAAACAGGCTCTCAGTATGCAGTTCAGGCTGGCCTTGAGCTCACTTTGTAGCCCAGGCTTTTGTCAAACTCACAGTGATCCTCCTGCCTCAGCCTCCCAAGTGCTGGGATTACAGGCTGCGCCCCCATGCCCAGTATGCGCTCTTTCCCATGGCTTCTTCAGGAAACACACCAAGCCAGTGTGACCATGTACAGGGTTTGCTGTGCTCTCCCAGCCTGGCAGGGCTGGCACAGTCGTGGACATGTGGGGGCGGGTACAAGGTGGGAGTGGGGACCTGCCTCTTACCACTCCTGGCTTTTTTGGGTGGTGTTCAAGACAGGGTTTCTCTGTGTAGTTCAGGCTGGCCTTGAACTCACAGCAATCCTTCTGCCTCAGGCTCCTAAGTGCTGGGATTATAGGTGTGAGCCACCACACCTGGATAGTCCAGGTTTTTGAAACGCCATGTCCCTCAGCTGGGTAGCCTCCTCCAGGGTCCCAGGATGGGACACCCTGCTGGCTCCACTCTGTGGCCTTAGCCACTCCCCACCTCTGGTGTGGCCCCACACAGTCCCGCCGCAGCCTGGCCCTCCCATCCTGAGGCCAGGTGGGGTCACAGCGGCCCCAGAAGCATGCTGTGATCAGCAAGGGGCTGTGTGTCCATCCCCGCTTCAGTGGACGCTGGGACTGTTTCCACTGGGGCTGTGAGTCATGCTGCTGTGGACATTTTTGTCAGCTGCACACCCTGTCAGGCAGGTGTGTGTCATGTTCACCCCTAGTCTGTCCCTGAGCCGCAGACGGAGTGAGGTGGGAAGGCGCCTGAGGCCGTCCCCAAAGACAGGAAAGACATGAATTGCAAGGGCCACAGAGAGCAGGAAGGAAGTGGGAGGTGGATGGCCCTGGGCACCGGGAAATTCCCTGCCCCCCTGCTGTCCCTACAGGGACCCCTCCAGGCCAAGGGGACCCATTGGGGTCTCCCAGCGAAGGCCGCGGGGGCTGTGCTGTCCTTCCAGAGGCGCAGTGTTGGTGCCGCAGTCAGAGCCTGGTTGTGCGCAGGCGCGGTGACTCGTGGGAGTCCACGTGTTTTCCAGCGTGCGGGGAAGTAGGAGAACCTGTCCTGCCCTCCGGCCTTGCGCCTTCCTGTGGAGTGTCAGGCCGTAATCACTATTTTTCTGTCCCCCACAGAGCTGACAGCTCCTTCAATTTCATGGCGTTCTTCTTCATCTTCGGAGCCCAGTTTGTCCTGACTGTCATCCAGGCTATTGGCTTCTCGGGATGGGGTGCATGGTAAGCTCCACGTTGGGGTGCCGTGGAGGGGTGTGTGTTAACTGGCAACAGGCTAGGCTGCAGCTCAGTCTGAAACTCCTGGGTTTGGCCCCCAGTATGAAAAAAGAATTGTAGAAGTGTGTGTGTCTGCTGTCGAGGGTGTGCTGTCGTAAACAGACCCTGAGCGGGCTTTGGATGCGGGGCGAGGGTAACTCAGGCCCCTGCTGGCACCTCACTGCCTCAGCATGGGGCGTCTGCACCAGAGGGGACAGGAAGTTCACTTGTGTGCCATGGGCTTGAGCCAGGTCACCTGGTCTGGAGAACTGGAAGGTATGGCACAGCTGAGAGCCCTGAAAAGATGCCACCTGTTACATGGTCCTTGATGGAAGAGTTCTTGTGGTGGGGGGCACCCTCTCCCACCTTCTACCTCTCTGAGATCTCTTGGGCTGGTGGAAGAAATGACCACAAACTTGATGGCCTGAACCAAAACAAATGGATAAACTCAGGTCTGGAGGTCAGAGTTGTAAAGTGGGCCCATCTCGGCTCCTGTAGGCGCCGGTAGCCCTAGGCTTGTGGCCCCTTCCTCCATCTGCAGAGCTGGCAGTGCCACATCTTCAGCCTCTCCCAGCCTCTCAGCTTCCCACACCCGTTTGGGGAACCTGGGGGAAACTGGATCCTCAGGTGTTTAGGATGACAACCCCCCAGGGTCCTACACATGACCCCATCTGCAGAGTCCCTTTTGCCATGGAGGCCCCAGGGGATAAGAACATGGGCACCTTTAGGGAACTGTCACATGGCTGGCCACAGGTAGCATCTTTGGCACTTGGTGTGCTGGTTGAGCTCAGTCTCACTCAAGTTCCCTTCCTGTGTCCCAGGGCTGGAGGACTTAACAGCACCAAGCAGTGGCTGCAGGTGTCCTTACCTGGGGGATTCTTTTTTTTTTTTTTTGGTCTTTTTGAGACAGGGTCTCACTATGCAGTTCAGGCTGGCCTTGAGTTCACTTTGTAGCCCAGGCTTGTCTTGAACTTGCAGCAATCCTCCTGCCTCAGCCTCCCGAGTGCTGGGATTATAGGTGACTCTTAATGCCTTTATTTTATTTTATTTATTTTTTTTGAGATAGGGTCTCACTGTTTAGTTGAGACTGGCCTTGAACTGACTTTGTAACCCAGGCTGGCCTCAAACTCACAGTGATTCTCCTGCCTCAGCCTCCTGAGTGCTGGGATTACAGGCATGTGCCACCACACCCAGCAACTCACTGCCTTTGCTCAGACAATAGGAGCAGCTTGTCTGTGCCGCGAACACTGCCTCACCAGGAGGCTTGCTTTCTTTGTTCTTCCTTTTTTTTTCTTTCCAATATTGGGGATGGAACCCAGAGCCTTTGCACTGAGCTCGTTCTTACTTTTTCTTTGGCAGCAGGGTCTTGCAAAGTTGTTTAGTGACCCAGGCTGAGCTGGAGCTTGCACTTCTGCCTCTGCCTCCCAGAGTGCTGGGTGACAGGTGTCCGCTGCTGTGCCCAGCTACTCGGGGTTTTCCTGTGTTGCGTCCACAGGTGGCGGTTCTCTCACTCTGTGTCCCTGTGCTTCTCACACTCCCTGTCCTGTGGCCACCACGTGCCATGCCGAGGTTCTTGTGTCTTGTTGGTGCTTTCCTCTGGCTCCAGAGGCACTGCTAGACCTGCCACCCCCTCAGGCCCAGCTCTTTGCTTTTTTGTTTTGTTTTGTTTTTTGTTTTTTTTCCGGTACCGGGAATCGAACTCACAACCTTGTGCTTGCCAGGCAGGTGCTGTGCTGCTGAGCTAAATCTCCAGCCCCCTTTTTTTTGCTTTTGAATATTATGTTTGGTGCTGGTGTGGAACCCAGGGACTCAAGCCTGCCAGGCAAACGCTGAGCCCTGCATGGCTCTTCTGTGTGTTCCGCTCTGCATCCAGTAAGCTCCCAGGCCCTAGGCCCACGGACTGAAATCTGCAAATGCCCCATGTGCTGCCCTGTCCCACCCTGCTGCCCTGCCACGGATGCCTGTGTCTCTCCCCGGCACCACTGGGACGCAGAGGCTTGGACATTTCTCCCTGAGTCCTCAGTGACAGAGGTGGCCTGGGATGTCACCACAGCTGTGAGGGAGAGTCCTGAGAGTGAGGGTCCTCGCTGCTGGGCATGGTCAGGAGGCGGCTGCACCCTGCTGTGCAGAGTCACCAGCAGCTGTGGCTTCCTTTCATGGCCCCTGCTGCCCACCAGGCCCCTTGGGCTGCTAGGCTCTGTTCATCTGCCCAGGCCTTCGATCCCTCCTCCCTACCCTGCGCCCGTGCCTCCCTGGGCAGAGCGGACAGGGCAGGCTGGTGCTGTCACCTGCGGTGGCGTGAGTGCCCCTCATGGAAGACTGGAGAGACCCCAGCTGCTCAGAGTGTACGCGTCTAGGCGGCTGCGCCAGGTGGAGCAGGAGCAGCTCGGGGAGCCCAGGGATGGGGTGCTGCGTGCACGTGGCCGAGCACGTGTGTAGCACACACGTGTACACACATCTCTCAACCCTGGGAGGCGCCTGGCAGCCAGGCTGCGGAGGAGTTGGGCAGAGGTCAGCAGGCTTCTGTGGGTCTTGCCGTGTAGACTGGCTTGTGTGTTTCTCACTTTCTTACCTATTTTTTTGGTGGTACTGGGGGTTGCGCCCAGGGGTCCCCTAGCACTGAGCTACATCTGCAGCCCTTGGGGCTCAAACTTATGACCCTCCTGCCTCAGCCTCCTCAGTGCTGGAGCCTTCTTGTCTTTGAATATCCCATTGCTGCCCCACTGTGCAGGACACTCGGGTTTTCCCGGTTTCTCATGGTTACCGACAACCACTGTAGCAGAGATCTGCACACGAGGGTGAGAGGAGGGAACGTCCCAGTCTTTTGGTGACTTTCGAGTCTTTTCTCCCCCTGCAAAGCATGAGGGACAGGACAACACTGCTTCCTCGTTTCCTCGCGCACTCAGGCGGGAAGAGGAGGTCTTGTCCTGCCCTGGACATCTTCCTCGGTGGTCTGATGTCCTTTCAAGGGTGCATCCTCAAGTGACTGCCCCTTGTTCCTGTGGCGTGTCGGAGCTCCATGCGTGGAGGACGCCAGGTGAGCCCGCGCTGTCTCTCCCGGCAGTGGCTGGCTGGCGGCCATCGGGTTCTTCCAGACCAGTGTCGGTGCCGCCGTGGTTATGCTGCTCCCCGCCATCATGTTCTCCGTGTCCGCTGCCATGATGGCCATCTCGATCGTGAAGGTGGGTCCTGGGTCCCAAGGGTCCCCCCTGCCCCCCTCCTCTCCCCTTGTCAGCCCAGGGACAACAGGGAGGGCTTCCAGAATCATCTCCCAGGGATACCCCTGAAAGACAGGCTGTGGCAACACAAGTGGGATGATGTCACTGCAGCTCACAGAGATCCAGCGTCTAGGGACTTCATGGGGGAACACGTGGCCCCTCTGCTCGGCACATGTCAACCTCAAAGATTCCAAGAGAGCAGGAGCTGAGCAGAAACCCCAGGGTGTGTGCCAATGGGCGAGGCCTAGGGTCCTCTCTTTTCTGAGCCCCAGGTCTGATCGTCGGACACTTCAAGGGCCGGACCCTGAGCACACAGCCTCAGGCCTGCAGGGCGGCTCTATACCCCACCATCTCCAGCAGGACAGACAGCGGGGCCTCAATAGGCAGGTTGGAGGAGGCAGCAGAGGTGGCTGGGAGCTAGGGTCCCTGGGAGGATCTGCTCCGGAGTTACGAGCCACAGGTACACGTGTGTCCCTGTGCCAGGCCTGGCCAAGGGACGGTACAGGTCACAGTCCCCATGTGCCCTGCACACTGGCTGGGTCTCCGCTGGCAGATGAGATGGGGAGGAAGCCCTGTGCACTCCTCTAGCCATTCTGTCCCTGCTGCAGGTACACAGGATCTACCGTGGGGCTGGCGGAAGCTTTCAGAAGGCACAGACAGAGTGGAACACAGGTGCCTGGCGGGACCCGCCGTCGCGGGAGGCCCAGTTCAACAACTTCTCTGGGAACAGCCTGCCCGAGTACCCCACCGTGCCCAACTACCCGGCCAGCGGCAGCCACTGGCCTTAGAGGGGGCTGACAGCCCTGCCGCCTGCCCACAGGCCTGCATCACTGCCCCCCTGCTCCTGCTGCCCCCGGTCCTGTGAGGCCTGAGCATCTGTCCTGGCCTCCTCAGGGGCCCAGCCACTGCCAGAGCCCGAGTTCATTTCATCCTGGGGGCCCACGGTCTCATCTAGCAGCTGCCTGTGTTTCCCTGTGGGCAGCTACACCTTCATCTCCAGGTTGCAGAGGGTGGCAGCAGGCTGCCTGTGCTGTCCATCCCGGTAGAGCTGAGGACATAGAGGTCCTGATGCCAAGCTCTGTGTTGTCCCCTTAACCCACCCGTTGCCTGGGCTGGGGAGGGGCTGAGCATCTTGTGGTCCTCTGTCCGTCTCATGCCACATGGGGTGACGGCTCCATGGATGAGGCTGCAGGGGCAGCAGAGGCAGGTCCACTGCCTCAGCAGTGAGCTGTGCTGCTCCCTGTCTATCTGGGCTTCTCCTGTGGGACAGTGATGTTGGGACCCTGGTGTCCTGTGTTTCCGTCTGTGGCAGACAGCCTTCCTCTCCTGGGACCAAGGTCCCGCCCTGCAGGACCTCTGTCTGCATGCTGAAAACTGGCCGAGCTCCTGGGCAGGGGCGCTTGTCCTGACCCGGAGGAGAGCAGCGTGTGTCAGCTGCACAGTGGAGGGTGGCCAGGACACAGGGGCCCCTGTGCTGAGAAGCCAGACAGAGCCTCTTCCCAGATGTGCGCGTGCAGAGGCAGGAGGGTAGCCTCGCCCGGCAGCGGGCAGCCCTGTGCCTTAGAAAGGAGTCTTGCAGCCAGCACTACTCTCCGCCCCAGGTGCATCCTGCGGGGCAGCCTCAGCTCCTTTAACGATATTTGGGCCAAAAATCAACTTCCTTTGGTGACCTTTCCATGCGCTGGCCAGGCCTCCACAGGCCTCTGCACCCAGCGCCCCATCCCTGGGGGTCACGGCAGCCATCCTGGGAAACTTACAGGGAGGTACAGGCCTGGGCTCAGCTGGCTTCAGGTCCCTGCCACTGCATCAGGGTGGCGTTGCAGCCGGAGTGTAAGGCGCCGGGGAGCGGAGGCCCTGGGTGCCCAGCAGCCCTGCCCACCCCTGCATGTGGATGGTCACGCTGCAGTGGGTTTTATTAGCTGATAACATTCTGGAAATAAATCCTCTTTCTGCGTCAGAGCGAGTGGTGGCTGGGTCTGTGGTGCATACTGACCCCCTAGGCCATCGTTGGTCAGAGGGTCCCAGCATACATGGCCAGTGTCTGGTCACCAGGGTGGCCCTGCGGCCGCCCCCTCCACTGTACCGCGCTCCAGAACCCGCCCCCTGTAGTCAGCTTCACTATGGAGCTGGTAGACTGGGCCTCTGCAGACGCTTAGTCGCAGATTCAGCCACCAGGGGGCGCTCGTGGATATCAGACCAGGAGCCCCACTCTGCACCTTCATGGCTCCGTGGTCCCCCCCAGCACAGAATCCTGGAGTTTACCTCTCATCCCAGCTATTTGGGAGGCAGAGGCAGGAGAGTTGCAAGTTCAAGTCTCACCTGGGCACTTAGTGAGGTCCTGTTTCAAAAAAGAGCTGGGACTGTAGCTCAGCACTTCGAGGGTTAGGGTTAGAACCAAAAAAGGAATCCCAACTCCTATGGCCATGTCCCCACTGTCCTTCCCCCACACTGGCCTCTTCTGTCCCCAGCACTGTCCCCACAGAGTCCTCCCAGAAGCGCTCACTGCAGCCCAGGTCAGGCCCTAAAAGGACGCCATGTTCCATGGTTATCCCTGAGTTGGTCCCAGGAGACTCGGCCGCCGTCTGCCCACCAGGCTCCTCCCGAAGAGCTTGGGGCCTGAACACGGCACCGTGCTCAGCAGATGGGAAACAGCCAGGCGTCCACCTTGCCCAAGGTCTCGCCCCGGTTGGCACAGCTGCTCTGCCTGCGCCCAGAGCTCAGCCTCACCCCGGGCTGTTCTGCCCCCTGGTGCCCAACTCCCAGGTCCTGATAGACCCCACTCGCCCCTAGGCTGCCTCCCCTGAGTCACTGAGCTGTGTCCCCAGCCCTTTTTGTCTTTTCTTTGGAGACCTGGTCTTGCTGAGTTGCCCAGGCTGGGCTTGAACCTGCAGTCCTCCTGCCTCAGCCTCCCAGAGTGGTGTGCTGACCAGTGTGCGTCACCACACCCAGCTCCAACTGTTTCTTCACCTACACAAAAGTTGTTTCAGGACACGCCAGTCCCCAGGACAGATGTGACATCCGCGGCAGGATGTGGGATTCTAAGTGTCACGTCCCCTTGGCACCCAAGGAATGAGGAAAGGGCGACACAAAGGGGGAGGGGAGGGGCCCAGCTCGAGTCTCACCAGATCGTGCTCCTGCCACAGCCGGGCCTCAGGGCAGGGCCTTCGGTGGTGAGCAAAGTCCCCAGCCCCTCCCCGCCCTCTTCTCGCTGTGCTGGGGCCGGAGCTAGAGAAGGGCAGAGGCACCAAGCCCGGCGTCCTGGGACCCAGCCGTGGTCACAGGCTGCTTCGAGGTGACGGGCACAGCCTCTCCTGGGCAGCCCGTGGTCCCCTCTTGGGCTGGGCTGGGCATGGTGCCTGCCCCTCTAAATGCCCCCACCTCCGCATGAGGGGCCCCTGGTGTCCCCAGCTGCAGCCTGGGAGGGCAGTTGCAAGCGGTCTCGAGGCTGCTGGAGGAAGCACGTGTCACTGCTTCTGTGATCCCAGCTATGGAGGAGGCTGAGGCAGGTGGATCAGAAGTCCTCACCCAGCCTGGGTAGCTTAGCGATTTCGTGAGACCCTGTATCGAAAAGTAAAAAGGACGGGATGGAGCTCTGTGTGGAGGCCTGAGGTTCAATCCCAGCGCCACAAAACAAAACAAAACCTCCCCACAGGAATCCGCCATTCTAGCACCTTTCTGGACTGGTTCTGCAGAATGAATTCCAGAATAAGTTCCCAACGCCAGGCCCTGCGAATGCCAGGGACTCCAGGCCTCGCTCAGGCAGCTGTCGCCCCCCTCCTTCCCCCATGAGAGAGGAAACTGAGGCACCGCAGTGAGCCTCCCAGCGAGGATGTGCGGAAGCAGAAGCAAGGGTCTGGGCTGCCCGCCCTCTCGGTCCCATCTGGGCTCTGTGCCTGGGAACCCCCAGAGGATCTGTTGGGCTGCCTTCCAGGAGGGCCGTAAAGATTATTCATTGGCCCCGAGCCACATGTCAGGAATGTTGGCCACGCTGAGTAACTGGAACACGCTGTCCTGAGCAGCTCTGTCCCCCGATGTCTGCGCACCAGATGGGCCCTGTCTGCCCGGCGGCCACCCCCGCATCCTGGCTGCCACGTCGGGTGGAAGGTTGCCCAGGGCTGTGCAGCCACTGTTCTGGCCACAGCTTGCTCCCAGTCCCTTGTCACCTTAGGCGGCAAGAATGATTCTCAGGTGGGTGCTTTTTAGTACTTTTACTTTTTGTGATGCTGGAGGAGGAATCCTGGGCCTGACGTATGCTAGGCAAATGCTCACCCCTGAGCCACACCTCAGCCCTTTTCAGATTCTGAGACACAATCTTGCTGATTTGCTGAGTTTCCTCAGGCTAGCACTGCATTTGGGATCCTCCTGCCTCAGCCTCCTGAGTAGCTGGCATGACAGATATGTGCTATGAAACTTTGGATGGATGCTTTCTCAGGCATTTTAAGTGTACCTCAAGTGCAGGGGAGCAGGCCAGGTGACAGGCAGAGGCAGTTGTGAATGGCCACTGGGGTGACTCATGTTCTGAGTCACCACTTTCCAGGTGCTTCTCCCAGGACAGTGCAGAGGCTCAGCCCCCGTACTGTGGCAAAGGTGACAGATGCCCCTCCAGGGCCACATACACAGCCTCCAGAGACAAATGCTCCCTTCCGGCCAGCTTGAAGGAGTAAGATCCCCAGAGTTTGGCTATAAAACCCAACCTGCCCTGCAGGTGCAGTGTCGTCCCAGCACTCTGGGAGGCTGAGACAGGAGGATCACAAGTTCGAGCCCAGCCTGGGTGACTGACTGACTTAGTGAGACCCTGAAAATAAAAAAATCAAATCAATATCTGAAAATAAAAAATAAAAAGGGCTGGATTCAATCCTCAGTAATGAGGGGAGCAGAGATTACCCAGGCTGTAGGATTCCATTATTAGCAACAGAAAACAGACTAATGGGGGGCGGGGGCAGGTGAGTGGTGAGTGCTGGCCTAGCACATATGACCCCCTGAGAAGTATCATTGCCAGGACCAAGAGAAGAGAAAAAAGAATGGGCTAGTATTGGCCAACCCTCAGCCACAGTGCTGGGGCAGCTTTGCTGTGTTTTGTTTTGTTTTGACAGTACTAGGGCCTGAGCTGGCCTTTGCACTGAGAGACGTACCCAGCCCTCTTTGGAAAGTTCACTTTGAGACTAAGTCACCAAATTGCCCAGGCTGGAATTAAACTGACGTCTTCCTGCTCAGCCTTCCAGAATGTGGGATGACAGGTGTGTGCCACTGCTCTCTACTCAGATTCAGTAATTTTTTTTTTTGGTCTTTTTGAGACAGGGTCAGTTCAGGCTGGCCTTGAGCTCACTTTGTAGCCCAGCCTGGTCTCTAACTCACGACGATTCTCCTGCCTCAGCCTCCCGAGTGCTGGGATTACAGGCGTGCGCCACCACGCCTAGTTTTCAGTAAGCTTTTTAAATTGTCTGATTGAGGGGCCAGAGATACAGCTCAGCAGCACAGTGCCTTGCTTGGCAAGCACAAGGTCCTGAGTTCAATCGTCGGTACCAATAAATAAATAAATGAACTGATTGATTGATTGATTGACATAGGATCTGGTACATAGTTCAAGCTGGCCTTGAAACCTTGTCTCAGAAAACGAACAAAAAAGATATGTACAAGTACAAATTCCCTATGATGAATGTGATCAATATGTATGACAAATATGTACTAATGAAAAAAGATTTTTAAAAAAGTGCTGGGGATGTAGCTCAGAGGCCCAACATTTCTGGGTTCCATCTCTAGTGTAGTACTGCAAAAGGAAAGACTTGCAGTTTTCCTCCTACCTCAGCCTCCCAAGTGCTGGGATTACAGGTATGTGGCACTATAGGCAGCTAAGCAGAATTGTTAACGTACACTCAAAGAAATAGATTGTGGGTGAGAAACAGAGACAGAGACACAAAGACAGACGACACATGCGTTTGTGTGTCTCTCCTGCCCTCCCTCTTGTTTCTTTTGATGGGTAAATGGAACCCACAGCCTCCCACATGCTAACAAAGTGCTCACCACTGAGTAGCACCCCCTGCGTGGAAATCATGTCTGGGCTCAAACTCACTATGTAGCCCAGGCTGGCCTCGTACTCACAACCCTCCTGCCTCAGCCTCCTGAGTGCTGGAATTCCATGTGTGTACCACCACACCTGGCTGCAGTTGTGTCTAGTAACACACCCAGCTCTAGAAATGCTGCCTTTTCCTCAGGGTTTTGATGTTGGTGACATGTGTCCTCCCCTCGCCTGTGTGTAGGTGCCACCTCTGCCAGGCTGTGGCACTACTGGGGTTCACACAGCTTGCTGGGGAAGACAGCGTCCAACTCTCTACCGCAGAGCCTTGGTCAGCTTCCTGTGTTCTGCACACCTTGCCCTCCACAGCTGGCCTCAGTGACAGGGAACATGGGAGAGAGAGTCACTTCCCGGAATTCTCATCACCACTACGCAAGGCTGGGGACAAGTGAGCAGAATGATTACCAGAAAGCCGGTCGTAGGTGAAATATCCCCAAATAAAGTTAAACCTTAGTTCCGTGTGGTGGTGCGCACCTGTCATACCAGCACTCTGGGAAGCTGAGGCAGGAGGATCAAAAGTTCAAGGAGCAGCCCGGGCCGCTTAGTGAGACCATGTCCTCAAAGTAAAAAATAACTGGCCATGGTGGTACATGTGTGTAATGCCACAATGCAGGAGGCTGAGGCAGGAGGATTGCAGCTAGTTTGAACCAGCCTGGGCTACGTAGTGAGTTCAAGTCCAGCCTGGGCTACATAGCAAGACCCTGTCTCAAAAAACAAAACAAGGGGCTGGAGATATAGCTCAGTGGCTCAGCATCTGCCTGGCAAATGGGAGGTCCTGAGTTCAGTTCCCAATACCCCCCAAAAAAGCAACAAAAAACAAAACAAAATAATAAATAAAAGGGAAAGGAGGTGTAGCTCAACGGTAGAGCACCCTTGGATTTGAT